GGGGGGGGGCTGACGGGGAAGCAGCCTCCTCGGGTCAGGGGGGCCAGGGCCTCGTGTCTTTACCCTTGATCTGAGGTTCCATTCACCTGGTCAGCGACCACACCTAGAACAGGCCCGGCCCACAGCAGGGCACCAAGGCTACCCCCCAGGGCAGGGCTGGAGCTCGCAGGCTCACCCCTGCCCTCTGAGGGAGGAGCTGGGCCATCCCTGCACCCACACAGAAGCCAGCTCAGGGCATGAAGCAGCCCAAGGCCACACAGCACACAGGTGAAGGGGCTGTGGCCCAGGTCTAGAGGCATCCACTCAGAGGGCAAAGGAAAGAAGGGCAGCCAGTCGACGGGGAGAGGGTGGGAGCCCTGTACAGCACTCACTGTGCACAGGGGAGAGGGGCCCTCACAGACAGGCCTGGACTTCACCTGAGGACAAGCCCACATCTCCACTGCGCCTACACTGTAAACCCTAAGGTCTGGTTGAGGCAGCAGCAGTCCGCTCCCCATGGACACCTGTGCGGCCCCACCGGCTCCTCAGGTAGGCCAGGCCCTGGTCCTGAAGGACACACAGGTGTCTGTGGGTAAATGTCCACTCCTAGCTGCTCTGGAAGCTGGAGCTGGGAGCTGAGGCCCACGGAGGCTGGGGACAGACACAGGCCTCCCTGGTCTGTGACTCATCTCCCTCCTCCCAAGCCCCAGTGCAGTGGTGAGCCCCGGGGGAGACAGGTTTGCATAATTAAAGGTGGTGAGAAAACAGAAAGCAGGGTCCCCTTTGAGCACGCTCCTGGGGCCTGCAGCATTCGGAGCTCCTACTCGTGTCCCTCTTGGTCATGGCCTGCCCGTTCTCTACACTGCAGGTGACTGGAGCTCTGCCCTCCCGTCCTGGCCGGTGTCGGCCTCCAGTCCTGGGCAAGAAGGCTGCCCCGAGGCCCACCCTCACAGCCAAGCCAGCGTTCTCATGGCAGGAGTGCACGCTGCTCTGTGCCAGGGAACATGAAGCCAGAATGACCACACCTCTGCCTCCGGGGCCTGTGAGGCTGTGCCCTCGCCCCAGGGAGCGGGAGGCCTTCCCCGGGCTTTGCTTTGGCCACCCCTTATGTTTGCTAAAAGCTTCGGGTCAGGCCGTGCCCTGGGCCCCATAGACACCACTCTGGAGCCCCGGCCCTGCTGCCCTCCCGCCCTGGAATGAACACAGCTCATTTACAAGAGGTCTTTAATTTCACCGTGGCCAGGAGGAAGTGCGGTTGACCCGTGTTCCTGTTCACTCACATGATGTCGGCCACGCCCTCCAGCTGAGCTTCACAAAGAACCCTGGGCTGTCCAGCATCTGCGAGCTCTCGCCGGTCACACTGGTGTGGCTGACTTGGTGGTTTGCATAAATCATACACGAGGGCACAAAAATCACAGGACACAGACTCTACCTTAAGGGACATGCTCGCTCCAGCTCACAGGGAGTGGAAGGGACCTGTGGCTGTGTGCCAGGCTCCAGTGATGTCCCCGCAGAGGGACCACACCTGTTACAGCCCCTCAGAAGAGTCTAGCCCACCCTCTCTGGTTCCCAGAAGCCCTCCTAGCACAGAAGACCCTTCCCAGCACCCGCTGGAGACCAGGGAGTAGAAGCCCCGTGCACAGGGCTGCTGCGGGCTGGGCAGACCCCCATCTCACAGGTCCTCCCAGCCTTGGAGAGCACCACGGGCTGTGCAGAAACAGCACCTGGACGACAGGGGCCTCGAAACGCTGCCACAAAGAGCCAGATGCTACAGGCAGCATGTCCAGCTTTCCGGGCCACCCAGCCTGACACATATCCTCTCTCTTATTTAAATGCCACCTTAAAAACCAGGAAGCAGGCCCTCAGGACATAGCTGGCCAGCCCCTGCTCTGGCACACCACCACGCCTGCTCTGTCCCCTGGTCCTGAGCCTGTGCCACTGAAGGACGCCAGCCTCCTCCCGAGCTGCCAGCTCTGCCAGTATGGGCTTCGCAGAGGTACGGGCGGGCCTGCCACCCTCAGCTGTGACACAGAGGCCTTCCTGCCTGCAGTCCCAGGCAGCCTGCTGCACCAAGTCGGTGAGCTGCTTCTATTTTAAACAAATACCAGATCTGGGCTGCAGCCCTACTACGTGTCCTGGCACCTCAGTGTCCCCAGGGAGGTAGGTCCACATGGTCAGCCTCACCCACACTTGTGAATGCTGAGGGCCCCCAACCGCCCAGCAGCATGTCAGAATCTGAGGGAAAGCCCAAGAATCCAGCCACATGGCTTCTAAGAACGTGATCAGAGATTGTTCTGTCCCCACCCCCCAGACCCAGTGATTGGACCCCAGGGAGCAGGACTCCTCTGGAGGAGACTGGCAGCACAGGGAGCTGCTTCCCAGGCTCGCAGGCTCTGGAGCAGACGGGCTCCGGCACCACGGGGCAGGAGGCAGCCTCTCCGCCCTGCTGACAGATCTCTTCAAACTAGAAATAAAGCTTATAAAAAGTAAATTATCTCATTTTATAACTTAAGTGCATCAAGCATTTCCTTAAATATAGTTCACACTGAAAATAAAGTTACTTTTGCTGTACAGTTGGGGTCTGTTATAATTATGAATAAACTTTGATGACAAGGTATGAAAGGTTATGCAATCACGCACACAGCTGTCTGTCTGTCTGTCGTGGGTGTACAGACAGACAGATATATGCACCTCTTCACAAGAGCTTCCCCAAACTGCGGGAAGTTGTTGGGAGCCCTAGGCATCTAACTTGCTTGAGTGTCTATATTAAAGTCCCTGTCCTTAATGATAAGCACATCTTCCTATCTAATCCTAAGACTCTTATTAGAAACACTGAACTAGGCGATCCGTAACACACTCAGTCTTTGGAAATGCTGAGCTACGCCAAATCATTATACGACAGCACCCCACACACCTCCCTCCCCAGCCCACCTCTGCCCTGGCCTCCCCGTCCTAAAGCCAGCGGCCCCTCACAGAATATGGTGGTTCCACGTGGGAGCCTAGCCACAGACGCTGGGAAGACTCAAGAGGTGAAGTACGAATTCTGCATGGAGTACAGGTGGTCAATGGGGTTGCCCACTCGGGACTGCAGGGGTCCGGATTCTGAGGTTGCTAGGAAACAGTCACCCAGGTTACTGAGGGAAGTGTCGTCACTATCCAGGTCATGGAACAGGGGCTCAGCACCTGAAATGGAGAAGAGGCACTGACATGAGGTCTGGGAGGAGAGACTTGCCTCAGTGTGAGGAAATTCAGCCAAACGCCCATCCCCTGTGACTCTTTCCCCAGGGGGAGGAAAAGCAGGGGCTGGGGATAGAGAGAACCAGGAGGGACATGATCCAGGGGTCTGTCATCTCCACAGGGGCTCCTGTCCAAAGTGCAACACATGGAACCATAACCAGGACACACAGTGCTAAACGGAGTGCCACAGAGCAAAGGACAGAATGCACAGACAGCAGGTGTGGGAGGCAGGATCCTCACAGAGGCTGGGCCAGGGACCCTGCAGAGGCTGGGCCAGGGGTCTATAGAGGCTGGGCCAGAGCCTGCAGAGGCTGGGCCAGGGG